TTATCAAAATATAAGAAGAAAAAATCGTGAGTTCGTTCACTAGCGAGATTTATCAAGCGTGACGATGATAATGCAGATGGCAAATCAATATCAATATAAATTATGTCATTTATTGTCCAAATTACCAGTGATTTTCTATCATCAGCAAATACAACGAGATTTTCTGTTGAATGAAGTGTTAATAGTGAACTGAACATCATCGAGCATTTCATTTTTAATTGAATATTATTTGATTGATTGAATTCAATTTTACCATTAGCATTGGTTTGTTGAACGATCAAACATAATGAACCAATATTTGTCGGTAGAATAAACGTACCATTCGTAGATACATGAATTTTAGCTGGTGAATGAAGACGAAAACTAAGTAGAGGTTCCTTATGCAGATATATCGATGAATAAATTTCAAACCAATTATTGTTTGTAATTACAGCTATTAAAATCGTAGTTTCATTCGACTTGTTCAATGTCATAGCGAATTCGCTGACAGTTATCGAATTTTGATAGTAACGAGTTTCTTCAATCGATGTCGAATGTTGATATAGCCATGTAGAAAGTGCTCTAAAGAATACAAAAATATTATCTAGAATCTAGATGTAATAGTCGCAGTCAATATAAAGCAAACAATAAAAGATTGCTGAGCTATTAAATTCAAATATCTGATAATCAAGACGAGAGTGCCGGCAAACGTAGAGAAGGAAAAAGTCGAAATTGAAACATATCAAGAAGGAAATCACCGAAAGATATGTTAGAGGAGATGAGCGCATTATTCACTCTCACCAGTATCTTCTATGAGCGATGTCAGAACGGCCAAAGTGCAAATTAAAGATAATTGTATCGGATTCTTAAATTCCAAATTTTTAATTGACCAATTGTTTCGGTTCATATAAATCAGAACTTCAAGAATGAGACACGAGTTGATGAAAAACGATCGATTTTGAAACATAACATCGTGTCAATGTTTAATAATAGAACGTATGGAAAGTGTTCGATTATGTCTAAGCCTATATTATTTTTTTGTCCCATATGGGCTCATACCTATGTGAACCTTTCAATGAGCATAAAAACTATACGTATGAGTACGAGTGACGACATTTCAAGTTAAAATCCGATGATTTGATCTGTTTTCTAAAAATATCGGTCCACATATTCAAAAACACAAGTATTTCATATAGAATTGTTGAAGAGAACTACTACTTTTACATGATACAATTATCTTGGGTTTATGCAGCTTGAGCAAGAGTGTAACGAATGGTCCTTAGTATCGAAGTCGGCGCACCTTTTTCGTTTCTTAAAAAAAGCCGGTGCTTCCTTCCGATCCTCGAATTTACATTACATTCGGGTTGAATATGTGAATGACAACATCAATCATTTCAATATCAGTTATTGGAATCAAACACTCAATAGTCTACATACCGGATGCAATTTTGCTTTATTCACTATAATTTAAATTTGAAAACATTGCATGTCATGTTAATCAAGATTTAAAAATAAAGAGATAAAAACAAACAAAATTATCGTTTGTTTGTATCAAGTGTAACTGCTATTGTATTGAACAATTCAGCAGTATCGATAGGTTCGATTGTACGTGGAAATGTTGGTATTTTCTTATAAGCTCGACGTGCTTGACCAGCATGATATGCATGAATGACTCCATTTTCCATCGAACATAAAAATTGCAATGCTAAAAAGAATTTTTTTCTATAATTACTAGTTTCAAAATCAAACAAAATCACTAACGATTTTCAGCTGACGGTTTGATCGTAGTGACAGATGATGAACTAATATCGATGGACACATATAATTGATACTTATGAAACGCATCATTTTTGACATTGCCATCATCTTCATTTACAACACATTTCCATTTATGTATATCACTAATACCTTGACTAGCTGAATATACAATATGTCGATTTTTGGCATGCATTGAAACAAGATCATAATGACCATCGATACGTACATATGATAAAGTTTCTGCTATACAATAATGAACAATATATAAACCATCATTTGTTATAGCTGTGAAAAGTAATGAATTAGAAGTTTTCTTATTGAATTGCATCATTTCCTTGTTTGGTAATACGAGATGTTTTATTGGTTTAGGTGTAATAGGAGCATCAAAAGCGACCCATATTTTGATAATTTGATTATCGATTAACGTTTGTTCAGTTTGATGAATTGATTTTAAATCAATAATAGCAAAGTCACTGGGAATGTTTCTATCAAATGTACAAATTAAGAAACGTCCATCGACAGCAACTAAATTCAAATGTTGACTAGCTTGAATTGAAGCACAATGAGAAAAAGATGATTTTCTCCAATCTTTTATTGAATAGAAATGCATTTTTCCATTTTGACAAACAATAATGATCATTGAATAACTATTTATATAAAGAATATTTTTAATTTTGGACGAAGATGACAATTCAATTCGACTAAATAGACGATTTCGTACAACATCCCAACATTCAATATAGTAACTATCAATTTCTGCAATAATACAAAGACCACGTTTAATATCAATAAATTCAACAATTCGAAAGCCAATTTTTGATATTCGCTCAAATTTAATATCATAATGAGCTGAAACAAGATAAATATGATGAAATGAATTGACTAAAAAATGCATTTGTTGAAATTGATTATTTCCATTAGTTGAATTTGTAGATTTGTTATTTTCTTTTTCCGAATGATAGAGTTTCGGTAATGTTGTTGAATTTAAATATGATTCATTTAAATTAGGTAAATTAATATCTAATACTGTATTTCCAGTTGTCATATTAATCACAACAATTCGATCTGATAAAGAAATAGCTGTCAGTTGATCATCGGTAAAATCAAGATCGACAACAGATGCTGTATGTTTATGCATGGAATAGAGTAAACCACTACCTGGTGGTCGCATTTGACAATACGGTACAATGAGCGCACATAACGAGTATGTTGTTCATCGAATTGTTTAATTACACGTGTGTTTTTTTTTCATACCAATAAGAGGAAGTAGACGTGAGGAAATTTCCAATGCAAAATTGTTCGGATATTCTTGAATAAGAAGACTACAGATCATGAATGTTAAAAATAAAATTTTGATTTCTCCTTTCATATCAAGCGTTTTCTTTGAAAAGTTTATATGATGATAATTCTTGAAAATCATGAAAAATTGTTATAATATCGTCGAAATCCGAACATAAAATTTTGGCACCTAAACAAATTAGAAAATAAAACGAAAATCAATACTATATTTTATCCTTTTGGTTTTTTTGAGAAAAATTCATCGAAACATTACGCATAAATGAATAATTGAAAAATATTTCATCGATAGCAATCGGCATTGATAAACTGGGCGCTAATTTACTTAAAAATTGTGGTAATTCATTCAATTTTCTTTTATTAAATTGAACATGACCATTGACATCGACAAATTCAATTGGTTGTGATGTTATAAATCTATTTCTTTGAATTTCACCATTCGATTCTTTCAAGTCATATTTGCCGACTAATTTTGGATCATCAATTTTAATTGGTTTATTTTTTCCTTTCCATGCTTCTTTGTATAAATCGACCATATTACCAAAGATAATTTTTCTTTCATCGATAGATAATTTTGAAATATATTATGCATTGACAACTTCAATAAAACGACGATGGTACCTAATAGATACATAATATGATTCCATTAATGGAAAATAAAAATTTTCAATCGACTCTCAGTATGATTAATCTTAAAAGCATGATGAATATAAGTCATTGGTCTCTAGATTTTTAATAGAGTTTCAATTTAGTGTTCCGTTCTTACAAACTCTGGTTCCAATAGTGACTGTCGCAAAAATATATGAAAATAATGTTTACTAATTCCAAGTGCTCGAAGTTTGTGTTCTTCAGATAACGAGACTTCAAGGAACGATAATATTGAAACCCGTCTTTACTAAATAGAAGTTGTTTCAAAATTGAAATATGTATATAAAAATTGATCTTTTCTAGCTATAACCATTCATATTCGAAAATGGGTTCGGATATTTTGCAATTTCATTTTTACAATTACGATACCGATTGAAGGCTGAACAATATTCCAACAACGACAAATGAATAATCCTGTGATGTAGTGACTCATTGGCTTTTCCCACTTCTAACATAACTTCCAATAAGTGACAAATCCATACTTAGACTTTTAATTCTTTTGTGAAATTTCAAAATTGTGAACATATTTACTATACTTTTCAGAGTTTGTCCAGAGCTTGTGACAGCCTCGTCGTAGTTGCATTCCTGATAAACGATAATACTTATTCTTTTATTTATGAGAAAAACGAAATAAGAAATGAAATACTTTAGTTTGGTTTGGTTTTCGATTAAAAATGTGAATAGTCGATTCAATTGACTTCAGCTTGCGCGAATTAACTCTTTCATCTATTGACGTTAACTAATTTTCGATCGATTACATGTTTAAAACAAATGAAAGTATTTTCTCATATATAGTCGGCAAATTTATCACTTTGATTCATTGGAGTTTATCGAAAATAGGGAACGGGTCCGGCCCTAATTCAAAACTTTTTCATATTTCTTCTACGAAGCTGAAAATTCTTTCTTGTGTTCTGTCGATACCACGGAGACAAGGATCCATCGGATCTAGAAACTGTTGGCATTAATTGTCTCTAATGAAAATGTACCATTGGCAACGTTGCTGAGTTCATGTTCAAGTTCTATTTTAGATATCTTACCAATAGATAACAGAAGAATCATCTATTTCCTTTTCTGTTATATATTCATCGAGATCATTGCGAATTCTTGTCCATAGAATACCAGGTAAACGTAGAACCGGTGGTATATAATGTTGAGAAACACTTTTGAGAACATCATTATCAAGTGAAAGAACATCTTCTAATTCATTTTGACTAATTCCATTACGACATGCTGTCATACAACAAAGAGCACGATGAAATAATATACTATTATGTTTTTTTTGTAATTGATTAAATAAATATCGAATACAATTGTCAACATGACATAATGTTTTCAATTGGTCATCTATCGAATCGTACGAATGCCATGTTGATATAATATCAAAAATAAGTTTCATAAATAAAGGTAAAATTTCTGTTCTAACTTCCATTAATTGACGAATAAATGAACGTTGTTTCATTTGAAGCCAATTATTAAAAACAATATCAACTGTTGATGCTTCGAATGGTAGTACAAGAACAAGTAAATTTGTTTCTAATTGATGTCGTCATTGACGAATATCTGGACAGATATTCATCGATAAATTATATAATTTACAAATTTGTTGAGATATTGAAAGAAGTATTTTGCGAATTGTTGACGAAGGACGTATTGTTCTTTGTCAAACATGAAATTAGAATTATAAAACATAGAAACTAGTACAAAGATGATTTTACATTAGCACTGTTAGCCACTAGTCGGGGCGGGACTACCGTGCTGCAATCTAATTGGCTGATAGAAAAAGGTCTCAACCAATTAGATTTCAGCAGCACTTTTCTTCACTAATGTAAGGATAAACGTAGTGTTGTTCAGGCTAATCCGTGGGTTACCTGGAGACTTCTCTTAAATGGCTTGGATAACACTATGCTCAGTCCATAATGAAATAGAGAAAAATCTAGTCAAAACCAGATTAATTAAAGAAACTAACCAAGTAACTGGCCGATAACGGATAGAACTGTATCTTTCAGCAGTATGTGTAGGCTAAAGCCTTACGGCGGTTCCGCCACAACTTTTGGCTAACATTCTATGTTAGTTATACATACCCAAGAAAGCGTAGAATCATTGAGAAAGATCGACCAGACCACCATTTCAATGCCTAGGAATGTTTTTTGAAAAAAAAAGGATTATACAATTGTATATTTTCATTTAGCGGATCAGAATAAATGAGTCGCACTATTTTCGTGATATTTTTTCAGTTTTTAACTTCTACAAGACCACTGAAGAACAAATATTATAGAGAAGCTTTCAGCTCAATCCTTGTGGAAAAGGTCAAACAAGAATAATCTTCAAGTTTATGTGATTACGCGTAATCGAGGCTGAAATATTGCATTCGAAGAGAGAGAGAAAATGAAAAGATTTTTTGACTTTGGGATTTCATATCGATTTGGAACTCAAAGTATCCTCTAAAAGGACAGTAGTCTGAAGGTTAAAAATTCACAATATTATGTCATCTGTCTGCCACGGTCTGTAAGAAATAGTTTGTATGATGATATTGCCCATTCAAGATCGAAACCGAACGGGGCAGATTACGATTCGCAACTTTGTCAAAATGGATCGATCGAATCAGGTTTAGCCGAAATAGTTCTTCGCAATATTAATCTACTTCTCCTCTTTGTTCATGATGATCTAAGCAAACTGTGAATCTGTCGATCATGAATTAAATTGATATGTTTGCTTAGTTAACTAGGAGTAACTTGTGTCTGTTTATTCATATTTCTGTTTGCCTTGAAATAGCGACGAAATAGATCCTTTCTTAAAATTTTATGTTCAAAAGACTCCACTTGTTATAAATATCAGATATGATATAGCGCGAAGAAAGCGAGTAAGTATAATGCTATATTTCATTCTATGTTGTCAATCTGAAAGATCCCAGACAACTTTCTTGACAATAAAAAAATCTAGTGTCTTCATTCTTCTTTTAATCGTGTCTAAATATTGCTTTCAATTGTTAACATTCGTTCCAATAGTGGAAGATATGTACAAGTCAAATCAACTTTTCGAATTCGACACTACTCAAATTTAAATGTTACTACTAAACCTATATCAATAACATCCGATATACAAGCAATGGTATGACTTTTCCTAGTTGTTTCAATTAGTATACTTCGACTGCAGCCTTGGCCAATACACTGATTTTTCCACAACCGGATGCTCCATAGACAATGCATGCACGATTTTCTTCTTCATTCATGATATATTCTTTCAACTATATCGCACGATATAATCAAAAAATAAATGCAATGATTGACAAAAAGAAAGTGCAATAATATCTTACTCGACTAAGAACATCAGTTCGACCATGAAATTTTGCAACATATGTTTTACATTGAATTGCATGTTCCAATATTTCATGTTGTAATGGATCAGAACCGATTAAAATACGTGATTGAATACATTGATCAATTTGTTGTTTGATTGCATTATAAAAATCATCATTGAATCGAGTTATATATTCGGCATGATCTTTTCGATTGATACCCATTGGTGTCCAATGAACTTTGTATGAATAAATATTTGATGATTGTAATACACTTGGTATACGTTTATACTTTAGATTATTAAGTAAACTTTCTGCTTCACTATCGAGTTTCGGTTGACCATCATTTGAATATTGCATATCAATAAATTTTGATACTTTGCTATCTGTTATATGATCGTGAATATTTTCAATTTCACGTAAAAAAACATAATGTTCGTTGATTAGCATCGGATGCTGATAGAATTCCATGTAGAAGTTCTTTTTCTGTGACTATAATTATAATAAACAGGGTATAAGTTAAAAATAAAAAGAAAGAAATATACTCGACATGAAAAAATTATCATATTCCTTTTTGTCAATTTGGTTTTGTTCGAAACAGTTGGCTGCTGCTTGTCGAAGACAATTTCGAATATAATTATTAATTTTTTCTCAATCTTGTTCTGCTTGTTTCATTTCATTAGTGTTCTAAGATGAAAATTAGACATTAATTTCATTTTCAATCAAATTCTATGAATACTACGGGAGATAATATATTTGGAAATGATGACGAAATCGGACGAAGTACATAAGCAGCCGGTATTTGATTTGTATCAAGTTGTACCATTGTGAAAGTAGTTTAGCATCATCATTCGAATTTGAACGAATAATTTCGAGCAATAATTCAAATAGATCTCTACGAATTGTTGATGATGTTGGTCGAGAACCATAGCGATGACTCAAGAGAACCTATGTAGGAATTGTTGAATCAATAGTTTGAATAAATAATTAATGATAACTGACCACAAAATTTGTAGCTAGTGAATATTTTTTGCATATTTCAATTTCATTTAGACATGTTTCAACTTTAGTATGATTACTATTTGATTGCATTTGAATTCCACACCGCATATCAGCATACTACAAATGAAAGAATAATGATTGAATGAATCAATGAATATGTATCGTTGTAAACCTGAAATTCCAGACCGTATTTTTCACGACAATAATCTTTGAGTTTAGGAAAAACAGTTTCAATTAATGAATCACGTTCATTTAGTGTATCTAAATATTATTTTGCGAAAAAAAATATTCAATGTAAGTAAGTTGTTGTTTAGCTATTCAATCTGAAAATGTTGACCTGAGAAAGACACGAACGACTTTCGATCGAACAACTGACAAATTTTGACATCGATCACGTAAAAGATCCATATAATTGATCGATTGCATGATTCGACAGAGAAATACGTGTTTTATTGATTATTTTCTTTCATTCTTTTGCTTGATCTTTTACTGTCAAAATTACACTACTCAATGTTGACATTCTGTTTGTATTTACCATGGAGAAGCCACTATTGAAGAAATACATTAAAAAAACAGTACACTTTTGTAAAATTAGAACTTGATTAGTACAAGAAAATTGTGTGAACTGAAGAATTTGATATGACGTTTTTTTGAAAGTGTCCCATCATGATATCAATCTTTTCAAGAATATCAATGTCAGAATCCCGTATCGTAATATTAGTCAAAATGAGTACTGTCACCCCATAGATTTATTTTAAAACGGTTGTATGCAAAAAGTATAGTAGGCCGTTTTCATGCCTACTGTGCGGTTGTCTTTCATCAAAACATAATTAGACATTTTAATTTTTATCATGAAGAAGTTGGATAACAGTTCAAATACAAATTCTTTCTGTGCCTACAAAATACACAATTTGACGTAGAAACGAAATGAGCCGCACTATTCTAATAAGAATTCTTCTCCGAACGCGATTTTTATCACCGATTGATTCATTCTCTTTTATCTTATCGAATGCATAGAATACAGAACAAATATTGATATTTAATCATATACCGCTTGTTTTTTCGCAGACGTGACTTACTAGTTTATTTCTCGCATCATGAGTTTCTTGTCGAACAACAAATCTTTGTCGATCGTTATTACAAATGTCTTTTTGTTTATTCAATCTCATATTGAGTATTTCCCTGATAGTGAAAATCATCATTGATAAACAACTAAAGAACATATATATTTGATGATGATGATGTACAGGAGGTTTGACTCACCACGTCTCACGCTGCACACTAGCATAATGAAGTATAAACTCTCAATGTTAACCTTCCTTGCCAGCTATGATTACTAATTTACTAGGTACTCTTCTTCTGTTGACTCTACTTGTAGGAATACCAAAGTTTTCTGACTAGTTTTACAAAACGAAGAATGCATAACGAACATCTACCTTTGTAAGTGATGGTGGACATGAATAAATCAAAATTATTCAAAAAACAATACTCAAAATGAAAATGTTTATGAAAATTCTGCAATAGTAGTTTTATATCAGGTTATTCATGATGAAAAATAAAAAAAGCGGGCAAGACAAAACAATATGAACTGAAATACTAAACAAAGTTTGATTCTTCTTTAAAACATTTCAACACTCAAAACAAAATGTGCAATTTTGGTATGTTTCATACAGTGCGGTCGAAGCTTTGCAGCAAAATACGATATGTCAGCTGTTTATTGGCTTGTGAGTCATTGTCTAACTTTTCGCGAAATGTATTAGCAATCTTTGCATTTTATTATATGTGAGCATTCGAAGAGTTCTTTAACAAAGGCGAAATCGAAAGGAATATCAAGAATTGTAGGAAACAGCATATGTTATAGTAATAGTTCCATCATCCTATAAATTAATTCTCATATGCGGTCAAAATCTGAAATTTTCACCTTTATATCCAAGTTAATTGCTCACTATTCTCATTGAGTTTTCAGTCAGATCAATCGATTGATGTTTGTGTTCATATACAGATATTTTATACAATCGTGTTTAACAACTAGAATTTTGTTCAGGTGTCTCATCGTGATAATGCATTTGTTGATGGTCAATATATCACGCTATCTGGAGTAAAATATGCTGATTTATTTAAACAAAAGAAGCCTATTTAAATAATTTTATTATCTATTCTTTGTAAGATCAAAAAGTACGTATCAAAATGGCCAGAGTACCTTATCGTGATCCAGATATTTATCTAGTAGATAATTCACTTTCAGATGTTGATGCTTATAAGTTTCTAAACATCGATAAATTTATTTTAGATCTAGCAAAAGTTGACTTTGTGATAAAACTCGTATTTGAGTTACTTATCAAATGGAACTATTACAAAATACAACTAAAATTATTGTTCTTGATAATGTGTGCATATCAATGACAACATATGTAATTTTTTATCGTATAATTGAATATGTATTTTATAGGGCAAACTGGTTCAAGTGGGAATATATGAAGAATATTGCTTGTATATTCACTATCAGTTGCTCAACTCCTTAAAGATATTAATCAACGTGGACAAGAACAACTACAACAGCCAATTTCTTTATTAAATCAACAGTCAATGACTGATTCAATAAATTCCGAAAAAGACAAAATCGACGGATAAAATATTAATTCATTATCAAAAGTCTTGAAACAAAACAAGAAGGAACAGTAAAATAGAATGCTTCTATATCATATATTCGAGCTAGAAGTGGATGTGGATGGAGGTGAAGGTTTAGATGAAGAGAGAATCCTCACCGACACTCACACTCCCTTGTTGATGGAATGAGGAATCGATTGAATCATTGTG